TACATAATGAGAACTATAAAGCTGTTTTGCTGAACTCACGCATTTGAAATGAGCAGTTATAGGTGAGAGTTGAAGTTTTATATCACATCCAGCACACGTTACTTGTTATTTTGATGGCACAGATAAGTATCGGTGACCCTTGAACGAGAACGCAAGGCGGGGCTGGGGGCGCTGGCCCCTGTGCAGTCGAAAGTGCACCTGTAACTTTTGACTTCCCTGAAACTTAGCTACTGACAGCCTGCTCTTGACCAGAAGCCTTGCTGAACATAAAAAGTCAATTAACACGTGATTTGTATATGTATCATATGCTGTAGTCTTACAAGAAAGCAAGCTAGACAAAAGAAAACTTAAGAAAATGGTTAGGAAGAAACGCTTACGGGACTGTCCCGTGTTTATGAAAAAGCCTCAGCGTGGACGCAGTCCCGGCACAGAAGTCCGTGCGTGGCGCGGGCCTGTGTGGTGGCGGTGCCCCGTGAGGGGGTCTGTCATCTCAGTTTTCAGCTCTGGTGGTCCCGACCCCAGAGTGTGAGCGGCTGCGGAGTTTCTGATCCAGGACCACTCGATCGATGGGCGTTATCTAGCTGCCCTTGACCTCCTTTATCCTAAAAGTGAAGGCAGAGAGGGAGTCCAGTAAAGTGCAGCCCCTTGGTTGCAAAGCCCCCCAAGCACAGGGGGTCATTCGGCGGGAGGACGGGGCTGCCGTGAGGCTCTCGGGCTCCTGCATGGGACCACAAGGAGGATTGGTGGCTGGTGCTTGCCTGGCCCCCGGAGTGTCCTGCAGGGTGCACTGGGTACCACAGGGCCTGGAGGGCGCTGACAGAGGTCCCAGTGCCGTGGGCGGCGGCCTCCCATTCCCCAGCTGAGGGGCACCTTGTCCTGCGGGCAGCGTCACCTCTTGTCTCTGGGCAGAGAGGCACCCTGCGCTTCGGGAACCATTCCTCCTGGTCCTGGGACCGGTGGCTTTATTGTCCGCCTCTGCTTCCCTTGTTTGTTGCTGCTGTCACCGCCCTTGCTGACGCCATGTCCCTGAAGAACTGAACGTGGCACGTTGAGGGTTGGCGCCCTCCGTGGCCCAGCCGTAGGCCATTGTCTGGGTGGGGTGCCTTGGGAAGGGGACGTGTCAGGTGGCCCGCAGGTGTTGTGCCTGTGGCATCTTTTCAAGGGTCCAGAAGGTGCTGTGGGGAGAGCAGGCCTGGGTCCCTCTGCCTGCCATCCTGTGTTCGTGCGGCTGATGCCATGAGGCCCGGGAAATGCTCTGACCTGCGAACGCACTCCTCTGCCAGGTGCTGCTTAGGACTTCTCCCCTTTTTTTTAAGATTTCATTTCATTTCTTTTCATTTCATTTCATCTGTTTATTTGAGACAGAGAGAGAGAGAGAGAGAGAGAGAGGATACCAGGCGGGCTCCGTGCTGTTAGTGCAAAGCCCATCGTGGGGCTCGATCTCGCAAACCGTGAGAATTCACAAACCC